CCTGAGCTCATGGGTTTGAGACCAGCTTGAGCCAGAGCAAGAAACCCTTCTCTAAAAATAGCCAGGCATTGTGGTGGGCACCTGTAGTCCCAGTGATACCGGATTTTTGACTTTGGATTTCCAGGCTCTTGGTCTCAACGATTCGATGAATGAATCGATGGACCACAGGATGGAGAATAAGTTAGGTTTTATTTACAGAGGTATTATTACAGCTCTTAAAAGAGCCAAACCTTGCAGAACAGAAGATAGGTTTTATATAAGTGTCACAGCTCTTACAAAGAGCCAAACTTCCTTGCAGAAAAAAAAAAAACACAAAACACAACTATTGCATGGAGCCTCAAGAGCTATCTTATTCAACAGAGAAAATAAGCTACTACTACAGCAGAGATCACACACTCAAATGACCCTGCCAGGTTGTCTACAAGACTTGCTGTAGTCATTCACTAAGTCATCGAGGAGAGGACATCCTGAAGAAAATAATGCAATCAGACTAAGAAGGGCAGCACAGGGGCCTTTAAAAGCTGAATTAGGAATTCACAAGGTACAGGTTTCCCAAGAGGATGTTCATAATTTAACATGAATTCACAACAAGACTCAATCTGATGGCTCGGCGCCTGTGGCTCAAGCGACTAAGGCACCAGCCACATACCTGAGCTGGCGGGTTCAAATCCAGTCCAGGCCTGCCAAACAATGACAGCTGCAACCAAAAAATAGTCAGACGTTGTAGTGGGTGCCTGTAGTCCCAGCTACTTGGGAGGCGGAGGCAGGAGAATCGCTTGAGCCCAGGAGTTGGAGGTTGCTGTGAGCTATAATGCCACAGCACTCTACCCAGGGTGACAGCTTGAGGCTCTGTCTCAAAAAAACAAAACAAAACTCAATCTGATGATATTTAGGGTGAACACTATATTGATTACGTTTTAATTGTGAGGAAAATGTAACTTTGGACCCAGATCCCAGTGAGAATTAGTGATATTCGCTCTCTTCATAGTAAAATTAAGATAACTTCATGGATGAAAATGATGGTACAAGGCCAGGTGTGGTGGCTCACACCTATAATCCTAGCACTTTGGGAGGCTAAGGCAGGAAAATCTCTTGAGCTCAGGAAACCAGCCTAAGCAAGACTGAGACCCGTCTCTACTAAAAATAGAAAAATTACCACATACAGTTGCGTGTGCCTATAGTCCCAGCTACTCAGGAGGATCCCTTGAGTCCATGAGTTGGAGGTTGCTGTGAGCTATGATGATGCCACTGCACTCTACGCCAGGGAACAGAGCAAGATCATGTCTCAAAAATAAATAAATAGGCTCGGAGCCTGTGGCTCAAGTGGCTAAGGCGTCAGCCACATACACCTAAGGTGGTGGGTTGAATCCAGCTAAGGCCTGCCAAACAACAATGACAGCTGCAAACAAAAAAAAATAGCCAGGCGTTGTGGCGGGCGCCTGTGGTCCCAGCTACTTGGGAGGCTGAGGCAGGAGACTCACTTGAGCCCAGGAGTTGGAGGTTGCTGTGAGCTGTGATGCCACAGCACTCTACCTAGGGGGACAGCTTGAGGCTCTGTCTCAAAAATAAATAAATAAATAATAATAAAATAATTGTATAGACTTTTTTTTTTGAGACAGAGTCTCACTATATCACCCTGGGTAGAGTACTGTGGCGTCACAGCTCACAGCAACCTCAAGCTCTTAGGCTTATGTGATTCTCTTGCCTCAGCCTCCCAAGTAGCTGGGACTACAGGCACCCTCCACAATGCCTGGTTATTTTTTGGTTGGAGTTGTCATTGTTTGGCAGGCCTGGGCTGGATTGGGACCCGCCACCTGCAGTGCATGTGGCAGGTGCCCTAGCCACTGAACTATAAGGCGCCAAGCCAATTATATAGACTTTTCTCTGCACGTGGTAGAATAATTGTATTTGACAGTTTGTTGAACCTGAGAAAATACACAAAATGTGCCAGTATGGCTAAATGCTTTTATGAGTGGTGAAAAACTTGCTTTATGTTAAATTTAGAATTTTTTTTGAAAACCTGATACTGCAGCCAGGTGCAGTGGCTCATGCCTGTAATCCTAGCACTCTAGAAGGCCAAGGCAGGTGGCTTGCCTGAGCTCATGGGTTTGAGACCAGCTTGAGCCAGAGCAAGAAACCCTTCTCTAAAAATAGCCAGGCATTGTGGTGGGCACCTGTAGTCCCAGTGATACCGGATTTTTGACTTTGGATTTCCAGGCTCTTGGTCTCAACGATTCGATGAATGAATCGATGGACCACAGGATGGAGAATAAGTTAGGTTTTATTTACAGAGGTATTATTACAGCTCTTAAAAGAGCCAAACCTTGCAGAACAGAAGATAGGTTTTATATAAGTGTCACAGCTCTTACAAAGAGCCAAACCTCCTTGCAGAGCAGGATGCAAGTGTTACAGCTCTTACAAAGAGCCAAACTTCCTTGCAGAGCAGGGTATAAGTGTTACAGCTTTTCCTCTTCTGCTCTCTCTTCCTCAGTGGTCAGTGACAATGATCTGCTAAAGTATTTCTCTTCTCCTCTATCTTCCTCCAAGGTCTGTGACCATCTGCCCCTAGGCTCTCTGCTCAGGGGTTTATATAGGGGCAGTTGTCCAATGAGCTGAGAGCTTAGCTGATTGGTCTATAAAATAGACCAGTCAGGAGCAGGATTGAAAATGGACCAATCAGGGAGGCACTGGAGGGATCAACAGTGTTTTCCCTTGATCAGCCGGGTCATTTATGTTACTGGAGCCTCCGGTGGGAGAGGAAAGTTCCCCCTTTGGCTCCAGCCTGCCGGTTTCTGTGCCAGCTGCTGCCAAAGCAGAGCCAGCAGGTCCTCTAGTGCCACTCTATTGTAGCCTTTGGTGGGGGGAGGGAAGCTCCCCCGCTTGCTCCAGCCTGCCAGTTCCTTTGCCGGCTACTGCCACCAAGACAGAGGTGGCAAGTCCCCCAGCCCTGCTTGGCTGAGCTGGCTGGGGTGTCACTTTTCCGGTATCACCAGCTATGTGGGAGACTGACGCAAGAGAATCACTTGAGCCCAGGAGTTTGAGGTGGCTGTGAGCTGTGACACCAGAATACTCTACTGAGGGTGACCAAGTGAGACTCTGTCTCCAAAAATAAAAACAAAACTTGAAACTGCAGACCAACAATCCTTTTATTACTTTTTTAAATTGTTTTTTTTTTCTTTTTCTTTTTTCTCACAGCAAGCTCAAACTCTTGCCAGGCTCCTGCCACAACACTGGGCTATTTTTAGAGACAGGGTCTTGCTCTGGCTCAGACTGGTCTTAAACCCATGAGCTCAAGCAATCCACCTGCCTTGGCCTCCCAGAGTGCTAGGTACTTTCTTAAATTTTTTTTTTTTGAGACAGTATTTCACTGTGTCACCCTCGGTAGAGTGCTGTGACGTCACAGCTCACAGCAACCTCCAACTCTTGGGCTTAAGCAATTTTCTTGCCTCAGCCTCCCAAGTAGCTGGAACTACAAGCACCTGCCACAATGCCTGGCTGTTTTTTTGTTGTGGTTGTCGTTGTTTGGCAGGCCTGGGCTGGGTTTGAACCCTCCAGCCCTGGTGTATGTGGCTGGCACCCTAGCCACTGAGCTATAGGCACAGATCTCAGCGTCTAGGTAAGCTCATTCATCGATTTCCACACTGAAAGAGGATACTGTGTCCTAAACCATATCCTCCTAAAATATTCTGTATAAACTAGATTTTTTTTTTTGAGACAGAATCTCACTATGTCACCCTCAGTAGAGTGCAATGGCATCACAGCTCACAGCAACCTCAAATACTTAGGCTTAAGTGATTGTCTTTCCTCGGGCTCTCAAATACCTGGAACTACAGGCACTCACCACAATACCTGGCTACTTTTTTGTTGTAGTTGTCATTATTGTTTCGCTGCCATGGGCTGGGTTCAAACCTGCCAGCCTGGGTGTATGTGGCTGGCACCCTAGGTGCTAAGCTACAGGCTCTGAGCCACTTTTTAAAATTCTTAATTTTTATCAAGGCTCATGACTCCAGAACCACTATCTTTCACATCTTTAATGGTGGCCCTAATCTTTACCATCCTCGCCCCAGGATTTAATTTTGTTTTTGGTTTTATATCTAGTGGAAGATAGAGGGAAATTTCAGGGACTTCTACTTACCTTTTTAGCCTTTTTCCACTATAGTCAACCTTACCCCACAGGCCTAACACCCAATGAGGGTTGTTATTCCAAATGCCAAGTTTAGCCCTCATGAACTGGGAAAATGACCACCCAGGGCATCCACAGACCCAGTAGACCTACTATAACCCAGACTTTAGTCAGGATTCCGTTTACTACCTCCTGCCTCCACCCCGAATGCCCCAACCCTATAAGGGGCGTGTGATGACTTCAAGTCCTTGAAATGTGGGGTGTTCCCCTTTTCACAGTGTATAATTACCTAAATAGGTGAGAAGTAACCCATTCCCAATCCACCTCCTTTTCCAACCACTTCTAATACCATGTATTCTGGTTCAGGTTCTCTGAGAAGCAGATGCTAGGTCAGAATCAGATGTGCCAAACATTCATTTATTTATTTGGAGAAACACTTTTGAAAGATAAAATAGAGAGGAGGGATCAGCGCCTCTAGCTCAGTGGTGAGGGCACCAGCCACGTACACCAGAGCTGGAGGGTTCGAACCTGGCTCAGGGCTGCTAAACAACAATGACAACTACAACAAAAAAGTAGCTGTGCATTGTGGCAGCCACCTGTAGTCCCAGCTAAATCCTGGCCAGGCAGCATTTAATCATGGGCAGCTGTGTTAATTATGCTTTGATTGCTTTGCATGTTTGCTTGCTGAGAGGACTTACAGGACTTCAACAATTTATATTCACAGATCAGCTTTTTACAGGCAAAGGATAAGGCATAGGGCAGGCACAGGGGGTCACACCTGTAATCCTAGAACTCTAGGAGGCCAAGGCGGGAGGATTGCTTGAGCTCCAAAGATAGGAGAGAGAGTTAGACAGTCTCTCTCTCTCTCTCTTTTTATCCAATTTTGAATACAGCTTTATTTAAGACATTGCATTTTCCACTCACAATACAGTGCGTTTAAAGTGCAATGTTATTTCCTTCCCCTGTGCACATGTTCCATATTCAAGTATTGAGAATGCCCAGTAATTCACTATAGCAGCCCAACTTTAAATCTGACACGTAATTTGCTACAAACTTGGATCCTTCAATATTTCACTGTGTGGAACAATGCTACATCTACACTTGGGTTGACTTAATCAGCCTCTTCAGTGGTGGACCAGAGGAAGCACCACCAGAAGGAGGAGCACCACCACCAGGGCAGTCCCCAGGCATTGCTCCTGGCATGCCTCCTGGCATCCCACCTGCACTCTGGTACAACTTGGTAATGATGGGGTTGCAGACTTTCTCCAGCTCCTTCTGCTGATGTTCAAATTCTTCCTTCTCCGCAGTCTGGTTCTTATCAAGCCAGTTGATAATTTCATTACACTTGTCAAGAATCTTCTGTTTGTCCTCATGGTTGATCTTGCCTTGAAGTTTCTCATCTTCAACAGCTGCTTTCATGCTGAATGCACAGGACTCAAGTGAGTTCTTTGATGAAACCTTGTCCTTCTGCTTCTCATCTTCAGCCTTGTACTTCTCAGCTTCCTGGACCATACGTTCAATGTCTTCCTTGCTCAAACGTCCCTTGTCATTAGTGATGGTAATCTTATTTTCTTTTCCTGTACTCTTATCCACAGCAGA